CCAGAGCCTGACATATACAGAGGTGGATACTCGCAGCCAACCATTGGACTGTTCACAGGGTCCCCAATGGAGGAGTGAGAGAGAAGACTGAAGGAGCTGAAGGAGCTTGTGGCCCCATGGGGAGAGAGACAGTACCAACCAACCAGAGTTCCCAGGGTCTGAACCGCCAGTCTGGGAACACACATGGAGGGACTTATGGTTCCAGCTGTATGTGTATTGGAGGATGGCCTTGTTGGGCATCAGTGGGAGAGGAAGTCCTTGGTCCCCTGAAGGCTAGAAGGCCCAGTGTGGGGGAATTCGAGGTTGGGGAGGCAGGAGTGAGTGGATGGGTAGGGGCATACCCTCATAGAAGTAGGAGGAGGGGGATGAGATAATGGTTTTCTGGGGTTTGGGGGGATGTGGAAAGGGATGTGGAAATTTACATCTGAAATGTAAATAAATAAAATAAAAAAAAACAGATAATGGAACTGGCTATTGCAGTTGAGCATTTGAGACTTTTTGTCAACAATTTAATATTACCCATTTTACTGGGATTCCTTATAATCCTCAAGGACAAGGTATTGTGGAATGGGCCCATGGAACTTTATAACAATATCTTCATAAAATAAAAAAGGGGGAGGTATATCCCTGTACACCACAAATTTATTTAAATCATGTTCTTTTTACTTTAATTTTTAAAAAAAAATTTGGATGCCAAGGAACTTTCTGAGTGTCTATAGCACCCTACAACTAGGCATACTTTATGCCTAGTTGAAAAGGAAGGATCCACTTACTGGCATATGGCATGATCCTGATCAGATATTTAATATGGGGAAGAGGGCATGTTTGTGTTTTTTTCTGCAGGATGCTGAAGGAGCATGGTGGGTGATTGGTGAGACATGTTGATGCTGGGACAAAGAAAGATGCTGACCTGTGAGCTTGATGAGTTCCCTGATGATGGTGACTGAGAAACTGTATTGGACATATGTTCCTGACCCACCTTTGCTTGCCTATATCCCAGATGGGACAAGCTGCCTTGCCTCAAGTTTTTAGATCTTGTGGAATAGAGAATCAAAAAGAGAAGTTATAATGACTCTTGTATCTTTCTTAAATGTGACCAGTTATTTGGACTCAATCATGGATGGTCTAGAAATCAATCCATTATTGGAAATAACAGTCTTCATTTGGATGGCTGGTTCTGAACATTTTCAGAGACATATTTGGAAGTTGGCTGCAGTTCTCTATGATGTTATGTTAGCAAGAGATAAAGTTGGGACAGGATCTGGATTTCAAACAAGTATTAGTGCACGTGTTAGGGCTCTTTTAATTGTCATGTTAAAATTACTTTTGTATTCTACAGTATTTAATGTAAGTTGTATTGATTGTACATTTTCTAATTGTGTTAGTGTGTTGAAACCTGGCATGGCTGTTATGAGGGTCTATCAACCAGCTTTTATGCTATTGCTCTGAATATTACAGGGCCTTGATATTCTGAAAAAAGCTTGCAAGTACTGGAAGAAGTGAATCAGGCTTTAAGCAGAAGCAAGAGGGTAGTGAGCTTGATTATTGCTGATATAACAGCTTTAATTACATTAATTGCTAGCACCACTGATTCTGCAATTGCTTTGACAGAAGAATTTAAGACAGCTACTTTTGTTAATCATTTAGCAAAAAAAATGTTACCAATGTATTGAGTATGCAAGAGGATTTAAATAGGCTATTGAAACAACGAATTGATGCTCTTCATCCTATTCAAATAATTGGAAGGAGGCTCAGTGTTTAAGAGTAAGGAGCCATCTTGAGTGTCATGCTAAATTCCAATGGATTTGTGTTACTTCTAAAATTTACAGTGATAGTCATTATAATTAGGAAAAAGTTTAAAGACACCTGCAGGATATTTGACATAATTCTAACACCTCTCGGGATGTTTTAACTTTGCATATCGAGATTGTGAATTTAAAGAATGCTGCTCTGTTTGATGCTGCAGATATTGCTGATAAAATTATCCATGGCCTGAGGTCAGTATTTCCATTTTGGTTAAGCATCAAGAATGGCATATATAGCTTGATCATGCTAGCTCTCTTTTTGTCCTGAGAATACTTTTATTCCTGCCCATCCTGTTAAATCTTGTCATTAACAACATCAACATGTTGGCAGCCAAAGTACATGGCTTGAAACTGAAAATGGACTCCCAGACAGAATTATTAATTTAACAGGCTGGCAAGCCAAGGATGGGTAAGATTCTGCACAGAGCCTTACCGACCTAAGAACTGCACTGCTTTTGATAATGCATATTCCATGAAACGTAAGGAAGTCATTCTTGTCGGAATGACCTAAGACAGACTCAGTCTTGTTTATGAAATAAAAAAAGGGGGAGATGTGGAGAGCTTTTGGGGCTGCTTGGCAGGAATCTGACATTTGCCAAGGACAAGGAAATAGGCTTCGGGCAGGAATCTAACATTAGGCTAGAACAAAGAAGTAATTTCAGGCAGGAATCTAAATCTTAGGCCAGAACAAAGAAGTAGGTTTCAGGCATGAATATGACTTTGGGCTAGGACAGGGAAGTAGGCTCAGATATTTTGGTCATCCTGATAAGCCCTTAGAAACAGTGATCAAAGGAATGATTGTGGGACTTTGTTTATTGCCTTGCTTGTTCTTTGACTATTTGTGTTTATTGTCTTACTTCTTCCTTGACTATTTGCATCTATTATATTGCTAGTTACTCAACCTAGAGCTGACATTAGTACTTTTATACCAATTAAAATGGTATAAAAGCAGATTGGGGAAAAAGAAAAAAAAAAGAATTATGGAGGTCAAAAAAAAAAAAGTCTATGACTTTCTGAGTAAGACTCCCAACAGCCCAGGGAAGAATAGCAAGGATTTAAAATTGGATTGGCTCAGGTAAATACAAATTAAAAATCTATTGAGAGTCCATCTCACCCAGCCAGGATGGATATTATTAAGACAAGCAGACCACACATACTGGTGAGGAAGTGAGAGAAAGGGGCACTTGTACTCACTCCCTTGGTGGGAATATAAACTACAGCATAGTATAAATACAACATACTAGTGAGCATGCAGATTCCTCTAAAACCTAAGGCTAGAGCTATAATTTGATCCAGTTATACAATTTTGGATATACGTCCAAAATAATGCTTCCAAGTGTCTATAGAAATATCTGTACACCTGTGCCTGTCATACACTAGTCACAATAGCCAAGTTATGGGCTAGACCTGAACATCTATGGGACAGAGACAGCCTTCTGAATTGACATTGGATACTAAGTAAAAGATGCCAAAATGTGAAATGGAGCAGAGAGGATGGGGTATAGAGTTTGTTTCAATTACCAACATTCTGAGGAAGAAATTGGGAAAACAAAATCATTACTCCATTTGCTTTTACCTCAAGCCAATTTTGTTTTTTAAATAAATCTAACCAAGAAATTGAAAAATCTCTACAATGAAAACTTGGAACACTGAGGAAAATAACGAAGTAGGTACTAGATTGAAAAGACTTTTCATGCTCAGGGATTGGAAGAATTAGTACTGTGAAAATGGCTATCTTACCCAAAGTGATCCATGTAATACCTGTTCAAATCCTTATGAGTTCTTCATAGCAATAGAAAATAAAAATTTAATTCATGCAGAAGCACAGAGGATCCCAGATACTCCTAGAAATCTTGAACAAAAAGATTAATGCAGTAGGTGTCACCAATTTCACGTTATATTACAGAGCCATATTAACAAAAGCATCATGGTGCTGACACAAAAACAGATGTCAATAAGTGGAATAGAAGACCTAATACAAATCCAGAGGTATAAGTTGCCCGATTTGACAATGATACAAATATATATATATTAAATATAGTATATATTTTAAAAAGACAGCATTCTTACAGCAAATGGTATGGGAAAAGTAAGTATTCACATGTAGAAGAATGAAACGAGGTATGTATTTGTTACCTTGTGCAAAAAAGAGTGTCAGTTTCGAATAGATGAAAGATTTTGATGTAAGACCTGAAACTCTGAAACCATTAGAAGAAAAAACAAAGGAATTATTTGAAGATATAAGCAGTGGCAATAACTTCCTGATTAGAAGACTACTCACTTAGGATATAATGTCAACAGTTGACAGATGGGACCTCATAAAATCTGCACAGTGCTTCTGCATAGCTATGGAAACAGTTAAGTTTATCAATAGTCTACAGAATGGGAGAAAAATATGTACTAACTATATACATGACATGATTACTATCTAGAACATACAAAGAACTAAAAAACTTAAGAATTCAAACAACCAAGTCCAGAAATGGGCTAGCTAAATGAATAGACAGTATTCAAATAATAAAACACAAATTTGTTCAATAAACATATAAAAATGTTCAACCTCATTATCTATCAGAGAAATGCAAATTAAAATTGCATTAAGATTCTATCTCACCCAGCCAGAACATCAGTCATTAAGAAAACAGACAACAAATTTTGGTGAGGGTGTGAGCCAAAGTGAACGCTTATACATTGCATGTGGGAATGTGAACTAGTATAGCCACTATGGAAAGGTGTATGTTAAGGCATGCATGTGGCGATCAGAGGGAAACTCTGTGAGTCAGTTCTTTCCCTCACCATGTAAATTCTGGGGATCAAACTCAGGTGGTCAGTTTTGGCAGCAGGTGTCTTTACCAACTTCCGTTTTGCCAGCCCCCACATCTCTTTTTGTTTTTTAAAAAATAGGTTATTGTGAAATACATTGTCAACAATTAATCTCATGTGTATTTTAGTTATATTCTTAGTGCACATTTCAGTGTCTTTGCTGTTGTTGAATTTGGGGAGCTTTATTATACAGCTCTATCCATATATGTAGACTCCTCATACAAAGCCTGAGAAGAGAGGAGGCTTTTAGTGAGATGGAGGCGGGCCTTCCTAAGGAAGAGGCCGGTCATCCAGCTTTTAAATCATGACAGTTCTCACGATGCGAAGCATTTGCTCCGTATGACTTTCCTGATTTTTAGAAGAAGGACAGGATGATACATGAGGATGTCTGTGTACTCTAGAGCAGTGCGTCTACAAACAAGACCACAGAGCTTAGGACCCTGCTGCCTGCATTTAAATCTCAGCTCTACAGGGTACTAGCCATGGGGCTTAAAAATGCTTTTCTTAGCTTCGTTTCCTTGGCAGATGAATAGAATATGAGCTGTGCATGCGAGACATTGGGACATGACACGTGGTAGCTCTGTGCGTGCCATGCTCATCCTAGCACCCAGGAGGCTTGGACAAACACATGGAGAGTTTTAGGCCAGCCTGGGCTACAGCATAGGGGTGACTCAAAAAAACGAAAGCAATGCCTTGTGCATAGTGAGCGTCAGTAGTAGACATTGCTGAACTAGACTCTCCTCATGGGGTAGATTTGTCTGGTCTGTGATTTCATAGCACTTGTTGTTAGGGTCGTTTACATGTCTGTTGTGTTATTGTTGCTGGTAAGGAGACACATCTACTCTGCCAGAAGCATACGATTGAGCAGAAAATATAAAATGAATTCTTCTTGTGATTAAAATTATATTTTGTACCCTTGAATCTATATATATATATTTTTAATTTCCAGATTTGATTCACCTCTGAGAAACAAAACAAAAGCAAAACGAAACCAAAATAAAATAAAGCAAGAAGTTAGCTGAGTCAGCCCGATGGACCTGGCCCTGGGGAGCAGTGAGGTTGTGAACAGAATGTGGGTGCAGTGTGAGAATGAAAGCTGCCTGAAATGGAGGCTGCTGTCTCCTGCAGCTGCGGCTAAGGTGGACCACAGTGAGCCCTGGTACTGCTTCATGAATGCTGACTCCAGCTACAACAGCTGCACCGTTTCTGAGGAGGCTTTTCCTGAAGAATCTCAGTTTCTTGAAAGCGGGTATAAGATTGTCTATTCACAACTTCCTCTTGGAAGCCTGGTTCTGGTAAAATTACTGAGGTGGCCAAGGTAAGAAATGTATTTATTGTTTATGACAATTAATCATTACTTAATTGCTGATTTCTTTAATTTTTTATTACATTTATTCACATGCATGCATGCTTGAGGGCCTGTGTGCTTGTGTGTGTCTGTCTGTTTCTGTTTGTCTCTGTGTTTTAGTAGATCAAATACCAAGAGCCTCATACTGGCTAGGCAAACACTTCTGCTCAGCCCTGTGCTTTGCATTTGGAGTAGCTGTGTCTGTTTATATATTTGGTCTTCCTGTATTTCTGAGGAAATTTGACAGTATTCTGAGTGTGTAATGCTACCAATACTACCCTTTCAGAACCTCTTTTAGGTTTTGTAAGCTGTTACACTACAAAACTCAAGTATATTGGCTTATTATCTTGTTCTCTATGAAGACCATAAGGAATCAATCATAAAAAGAGGCTTTTACTTGCTTGTTCTGATATGCACATGTGTGCAGTAGGTGAGCCAGTCAATACATAGGTTCAGGCTCTTGCTTTCTCACTATTTTGCACTGAATTATGTTGAATGCTGCCATAACTCCTCACCCTTTAGAATGACCATATTAGGATGTAGGTCCTCTATAGAAGTGATGAATACAAATGAGACCCATTAGGGTACGCCTTAATCCAGTCTAGCTGGTGTTCTTGTAAGACAGCGATTTAGGGATGCGCATGCAGAATGGAAAGTCTGTGTGAAACTGCAGTAGAAAGGTGGTGTGTGCACTTGCCAGATGACACCCATGATAAACTTACTGACAGGCTACTCTATGCACACTGAAATAGGATTAATAATTACAATTCTCTATGAGACTAGGCATATTAGTATCTATGAGAGAAAAAAAAAAGGCGAATAGGAACAGCACAGAGGTCAGCTGGTACACTTGAGAAATGAGAACTTCAAAATGGTGACAAACTCTACTGCGGAGTACAGCAGGTCGGACTGAGAGAAACAGATTCAGCTCCAGTGGAGTAAAGAGCACTTCTGAAGATGTTGGAGCACAGAACCCTGGAAACATTAAAACTTAATAGAGATCATTTCCAAGAAAAAAAGTTAACTCTGATTTTAAGAAACAAAACAACAACAAAACAATGTGGGCGGTGGTAAGATAAGGAGGATTGAATCAGTAAGAACAAGGGAACTCGTTTGCTTGCTGGAGCTCTCCCTATAAGACCTAGGAATGTGCAGAGCTGGGCTAACAGAGCAAAAGGAAATTGACACCTCAAAGAGGTGTCAGAACAGCTATAAAGCACAGAAACAAAACATACACATGGAACAGTAGGGAGCAGCCTAGCACCTCCTCTGCCCTCCAGAGGCCAAGGAGAAGTCCACTGCTTCTCCTGTCACATCCTGAAGTCCAACAGCCAGTTGCCACTGGAGAAGATCTCTCCCTCTATGCTGAGGCACAAGCACTTCTCTCAGCTGCAGGACTGAGAGCTCTGAGACCAGGTCAGGCAGATCACACAGCAAATTACTTACTTCTCCAGCCTCTTCCATCCCGACACGATCACAGGAAGAGCTAATTAATATTAACTTAGCATGGTAAAAATAGGATGAGGCAGAAATACAAAGGCTGAAAGGTTTCCACAGAGGTATGGTTTTGAGATTATTCTCAAAATCTTAGATTGTACTCAAGATTTCAAGTTGAGCTAACAGAAATAAAATAGTGTAGATATAATTGTGTGTGTGTGTGTGTGTGTGTGTGTGTGTGTATGTGTGTGTGTGTGTGTGTGTGTATGTGAGAGAGAGAGAGAGAGAGAGAGAGAGATATTTGGGAAAAAAGTAAAATTAATGAAAACCTTTTTAAAACTTCAAAAATGCTAAATTGGAAGGAATAAAAAATAACTGATACTTTATGAAAAAAATAAAATATGTAGAGAAAAAAATTAAAATTTAAAGGGCCAAAAGATGAAAAAAAAAGCTCAAGAAAAAGAAGTAGAAAAGATTACCTAGATAATATAGACTCCTGAAGTAAAAAAACCAAAGCCATATGATAAGACATTACAAATGCCTTTAAGTCAAGAAAGTTTAACTGAAATCTAAGATTTATACACTGAAGATACAGAATATGTATTTAGAAAAACTCAACCAAGAATGCCAAACTCTGAAATATAATAAATCTATATAAATTAAATGAAAATATTTTAAGTATCTACAAAATAATTAAGATCCTCAAATATTTGTCATTTATAAACATACTTCTAAATAACTCATTTCAGTGAAGAATTAGCAACTATTTCAAGATGAACAATTAAATACAATGTATCTGTTTATCACAGTTCTTTAAAAAAAATTGTAGTCTTGTTTAAATTAAGGGGAAAAAATAAGAAAAGACCAGAAGAAACAAACTGTTTATACTCCAGTCTTGTGTTACTGACCTAGAGAAGCTGCAGAACCTCAGTCTCTCTTGCTTCATTCTTCAAGTCTGTGGTATTTTTGTTACAGCATCCCTAACAAACTCATACACTGTCTTATCAAATGTATGACCTCTCTGCCCTTTTAAAATGAGAGCTTTTCTGGGGATCAAATGTGACAATATTATAAAAATTATTACTCTCTCCAGTATTAACAATTCTTCCCCACATTAATAATTAACACAAACATTAATGGATTATGTGTACCAGCCCCATGGGCATGAAGCCAAACAGCCTCTGAGTAGGGAGTGAGGATGATTATAGGAAAGACAGAAAGAAGACTCAGAGACAAGAGTTAGAATCAAGAGGGCTGTCCAGTGACAACTGCAGCCTTTTTATACCCTACAGGGCCGTGGGAAGCAAAAACACAAGCTAGCAGAGACAATGGCTGACACACATAGCATATCTATTCCCATCTGGAGACCTTTCTGTTCCTTCCTCCAAGGTTAATAGAACATTCAGCCCTTGCCTAGAGCCTCAAGTGTATCTCCTCTTATTCTATGCATCAGCAGGCCAGGAAATCTGCTTGCCTGCTGAACATCCTGCCAGGCTACTGACCCTGACCTGTTTTGACCCTGCCTAGCAGGCAAAATGGTCCCAACAGTTATGTAAGATACAGCATTTTAAGGGGTATGTAGTATGAACATTTCCCTAAGTTTCATAAAGGGATTTATAGTTCTCCATAATTTTCATCTCTAAAGCAAACATTTTAAAAGCAGAGTTGAAAATGCATTTTGAAAGCAATTCTTAAATGGGAAATTTGATGTTTCAGTAACTGTAATTGAAGAAATGAATTTGCTTTTATCAATCAATATATCTGAAAAACAGAAAGTTTTGTTAGGTATTAGTAACTGAGTAAAGGACTTAAAATTTCATATGAAATGTGATTTAAACCAGTCCCTAAATTTTCTCTAGTTTGTGATTACTGCTGTCGCCATGCCATGCCTGACAAAGAGCTGCATCCTCCCTCCTTTGGAGACTGGAATGCATTTGACTGCATATCACTTATGTTTCCCTTCATGAGCTAATCCGAGCACAAATTTAAATTTTAAATTAAGAAACTGAAATCTACTTGCATTGTTTCTTCGATGACACAAATGTATAGAGTGATAACAAGATAAATTACAGTAGCACAATGTAAAGATTTAATTAACCCAAAAGAAATAGTCAAATAACGGATCTTAATTAAGCAGTGCTCTAGATCCTGAAGCAGAGAGACAGCTGCTGGCTGCAGAGATCCTTAGTGGCCTAGCTTAGCAGCATAGCACTGACTGGGTGGATTTTCATTAACCTATGTCTTTACAGGCAGCTCTTAAGAGCAGAAGCTCTATCTTGCCAGCATTTAATGTTACTACTGCTCAAATGAGTTGACTCAAGAAGGTTAAAGAGAAATTGATGTAGAATCTAGAAATGCTTATTTAATTTTTCATATAATAAAAACAAACAGTTCTCAAGAGAGTAGTTCTTTGTTGTTCTCATAATTAATTTTCTTCCATGTTGTGGCATGCCACTTACTTAAGGACCTGTAAAAGGCACACACATAGCCTCTTACTAAACAAAGGGGAGAGATTTCTAAATCCGTCTTTTCAACGTACCTGTTATTCTACATATACAGACATATTAGCTTCCCAGGGTTGCCATTAGAGACTAGCTTATAGGAGCTGGCTTACATAACACAGATGTGCTTTTCCATAGGCTCAAGTCCTGAGATCAAGCTATCACATGGCTAATTTCATCCAAGGCGCTCTCCTTGTTGACAGATGGTCACCTCTCACCACATCCTCATACACCCTTTCCTCTGCAGTTCTGGGTCCTGATTTCTTTCCAGGAGACAGGTTATATTGGACATAGAGCCTGTCCTAGTAAGCTCGGTTTTGCTGAGTTACTTGTTGTTATTGTTGATTTGAGATAGGCTGTCAAGTAGTTCAGCTGGTGGCCAAACCAGCTCAGTCAACAGGTTCTCCAGGATGGGAGGGAGGATCAAAAAGAAGAAAGACAGTTAGACAACATTGCAGCATGACCCCAGCCAATTCTGAGGCTGAGGCGGGTTTATTTTTCCCCAATCTGCTTTTATACCATTTTAATTACATGCAAGTATTTTGGTCAGTTCTAGGTTGAGGAACAAGCAATACAATAGATGCAAATAGTCAAGGAACAAGCAAAACAATAAACAAAGTCCCATGATCAGTGTTTCTAAGGGCTTATCAGGATGACCAAAATATCTGAGCCTACTTCCCTGTTCTAGCCTAAAATTAGATTCCTGCCTGAACTTACTTCCATGTCATGGCCCAAAGTCAGATTCCTTCCTGAAGCACACTTCCTTGTCCTGGCCCAATGTCAAATCCCTGCCATGCGGCCCCAAAAAGCTGGCCTTGGACTCCTAGTCCTCCTGCCTCCAACTCCTGACGGCAGGGAGTACATAGGCACAACTCTAGGTCTAGCTCTCTTAGTTATTTCTTTAACTGTCTTTTCTCTAAAAATATTCACCTTCTGATATATAGGAAATTCGGTTTTCAACATCTAAATTTGGCAGGGGACAGTTAAGCCCTATGATGATAACAGACTTTTAATTTCTCAAAAACAAAAATGTATAAACCACACATGTATTTGAACTTTATAACATATGAGGAAACATAGCAAGAACTAGATGCCTTCAGAAAGGCTGCTGCCTGCAGGCTTAAGTGAAGAGCATAGGTTTCTTCACTTAAATGCCACTGATTCTCCCACTTTACATTGCTGACTGGGCAGAACTGGGCAGATATGGAGTTTTCAATGTTGCAGTGTTAACTGTTTGCATAATCTAGACCTCGAGCTATAAACTGTTGTCCGAGTGCTACTAGGGTTCTTTATCGTGGGATCCTCACTTGATTTTTTTTTTCCTCACTGCCTTTTCTTCCTAATTTATTCCCTGAGTGGTGGCCCAGGTGTTGGAATGTTGCTAAAATTATTTAAAACCTAATTAAAATTGGGCATGCCTATACACCTGTAGTCCAGCGCTCTAGAGGATGAGGCATGAGGGTCATTGGAGGCTAGATGGGAGAAATTAATGTATGCATATAAAGTTCGCTATGGATAAAATATGGACCGAATCCCAACACAGCATTTCAAGCCAGCAGTGTCCATTTTGCCACTCAAATACAAAATAATAATTTTAATTCAGAGGTTTAGTTTTGTAAAATAGTCAATTTATATAAGGTAACATGAATTAGAAAATGTTGATCTAGTAAAATAGGATAAGTAGGATACATAGCAGTAATTAGAATGTTTTATCCGAAAGCCAAAAGTAGCCTTTCTGAGACAAACTGACCTACTCCCTGTTCATTGTTAGGACCTGGAGGCAGGCCTTTGTTCTGTGCTTCAGTTTAAGGCAGCAGCATTCTCCACTGGTTGAATAGGTAATGGAGAAAGGCTTTTTGATATTTTAGTAACTTTACCTTTTGACTGTGTTGCAGCCTTAGATTATCACAGAGCAGCCAAGTGGTTGTCTTACTCCTGCATGGAGATCATATTTGACATACGCACACCCTCCACACTTACACTGCACCTACATGCTCTACCCCAAACCTACACACATACACCACACCTACATACTACACCACAACTACACACCTTATACACCCTACACCACACCTACACACCTACCACACACCAACACACCTACACCACACCTACCACACACCAACACACCTACACCACACCTATATACTATACCACAACTACACACCTTACTCACTCTACACCACACCTATATATCTACCCCACACCTACACACTCTGCACACTCTATGCTACACCTACACACCTATCCCACACCTACACACCCTACACCACAACTATATACCTTACACACCCCACACCACACTCCACATCCTTCAGAGCCCATTTAGGATGGGAACCAGTAAGGAATGAAACCTCTGAGGCTAGGCCCTTCATCTCTGATATAACCATGTTGCAGGCATTCTTTCAGAATTGAATATGAACTCCGTGGCTCCCTTCTTTTGTTTGTGGACCTGTTTGTGACCCATGTCCTTTGACCAGGAAGACCTCTTTTGAATTATATCTTACCAAGTGTCTTCTTGAAAAACTAAAACTAGACTAAAACAAAACAGCAGCAACAACAGAAAATCTTCCTGAAAGTTCCATCTGTAAAACCCTGTTTTCTTGCTTTAATAAAGACGATAACAATTTCCTGCCTCATCAGATTGATGAGAGGTTAGTGGTGATGGTGGGTGCCCCAGAATCCTCTGGAGCTCTTGCAGGTTAACTTGCCCAGGACTCCATATGTTCCTTTGCTAGTTCTACCCCAGAGCTCAAGTCAGGAGTAAGGAGTTTAAAATTACCCAGCCTACTCTGCTTTGTTTTCTACTGTAGCATTACATAAAAATTTGAAATTGTTTTAAAAATATTGAACAAATGCATTATTTGAAATTTTCAGTTTTTTTTAGTCAGTGCCAAAGCTGTTTGCTTGAGACATGATCTCACAATGTAGCCAGGCTGGCTTTTAACTGGATGTAGATTAGGCTAGCCTCACCCTCACAGAGGCCTGCCTGCCTCTGCCTTGTGAGTGCTGGGATTAAAGGCCTGTGGCTCCCAGTCTAAACTTGTTTTCACTTATATCCATAATCAGGACATTTTAAGATGATTGTGGCCTGTGAATCTCTTAGTTTTCAGCTTTTCTTTTAATGTAGAATCTAATAAATCAAGTAAACAGAGCAGGTGTGGGCTTTCTTACATCAGACACTCTCAGGACTTGCTCTCTAATTGCTGGTCGGAACTCCATATGGGTTATTGTTTTCAGTTTTTGCTTAGCAATATTGTCATGGCTCTGAGCTTTCAGATGTTGATGTGGAAAAGAAAAATCAGAGGCTGGAGAGATGGCTTAGCAATTAGGAGTACATACTGCTCTTGTATCCCTGACACACACATATCTATAGTTAAAAAGTAATAATTAAAAAGAAAAATCTAAATTAGACAGAAAGTAGAAAAATAGAATGCTACCTAAGTGGGAACTGAATGTGCAAAGCAGAAAATGAGGTCTATAGAGGTTTCTGTCACAATAAACATATCTTTTTTAAATTTAAATTTTATTTTATGTGTATGGATGTTTTACCTGCATGTATGTCTATGCACCACTTGTGTGCCTGGTTCCTGTGGAAGCCAGAAGAGGGCATCAGATCCTCTGGAACTGAAGTTACAGGTAGTTGTGAGCTGCTGTGGGTGTTGGAAATTGAATCCATTACCCCTCCAGCCTCTAAACATATTTTAAAATATTTTTAAATAAAAATTTACTTAGAATTCTGAGGGGTTTCTTTTTGGCAAATTAATGACGTGTCAATGGGAGTGCTAGAGAGGAAGGTACAGTTTAGAACGGTGGAGCTGCGGTCCTGACTTTCTGTACTTAACAGTGGTATCACTATTTGAGCTATGAGGGCTTTCTGCCTATCACCGATCGATCTATCTGTTATCTATTTGCCTACAGTTATAGCTATGCATCTTTCATCTATCTCTCATCATTTATCATTAAGCTATCATTGCTATATAGCTCTCATTTATTATCTAAACAGCTATCATTTACCTATAAGCTACCAAGTATGTCTATCTAGCATATCATCTGTCTCTCAATCACCTATCTTCTACCTACACCTACTATCTGTCATCTGTCTATTGTCTACAGTGTCTGCCTATCTATCTATCTATCTATCTATCTATCTATCTATCTATCATCTACCTACCTACGTATCGGTCACCTATTTGTCTGTCTGTCTATCTATCTATCTATCTATCTATCTATCTATCTACCTATCTACCTATCTACATACCCACACAGCTTTCTCTCACTTTGGCAGAAGCCATGTCAGTGACTAATATTTTGGTAATTAGCCATTTTTCATGGCTAGAGTTAACTCTGCAGAGAATTAGATATATCTTTTCCCCCTCTTTGCCTATCAGTCATGTTTCTTATGGATTCTAGATATCATTTTTTTTTAGTTTTTTTTCTTGTCTGTGACAATATCAAAACATTTTATTGATATAAAGATACAATTTATTACTTGCTTATTATCTTTGAAAGGTGTATGTAGGAATAAATTTATGTTTGAAGAAGTTATTAAAATTCAAAGAAATAAGTTCAATATTTGATTGTGATAGATGTGTCAATAGCTTTATTTTTTTAACAGAATGAAATTTATTTTAACTTTTTTAAAAGTTGGCCAGGAATACTTTGTCCTGATCCTTTCAAAGGGAAATATGTAACCTATGACCAGGATGGAAATGTTGAAAAATATTACATAGAATTTCTGGGTGACCCTCACTCGACAGCATGGATAAGTGCAACGTTTGTTGGACATTTTGGTCTCACGTTAAAGGTAGGTGAAGTACCATGAAGCTTTATGCTTTCTCTGGTTTCTTTTATTTACTGTCAATTTTTATCTAAGATTTTAAAACATTTGCATTTATATAAAAATCATATATAGTATGCTTTTAAATTGAAGCATGATTATTTTCAAGGAAATTGTGGGTATGAAATAGCTGTGGAGTTTAACAACTTTCCTCTTCCAATGGCAATGTAGTAAAAAGTAACTAAAGAATGCACCTTTGAAATGGTTTCAAGATTGTTCTTTTTAAAATTCTCCTGAGACCGTAAGTTTCAGCATCAGTCACAGGAGGTTAATTATGGAGCGCAACAAGCCTTTCAAATCTCAAGCCGAGTATTTCATTACACTAACTCCTTTGGTGTGTGTTCACTCTTTTTAAACTTTAACTCACACATTACAATTAATTAGTTATTGGATTCTCAGGCTGGGGATGTGGAAGGCGAGCTGGACCTGTACCCAAGGAGCAGCCATCGTGAGCATAGGTTGCCTGTGCTGAAAGCCACCCTGAAGCCTTTTGTCTACATCATGCTGTCATTAAAACCTGTGACAAACACAGTGGTATCATAAACACCAATACCTTCCACTCAGTTTTGATATATTTTATTTTTTAATAGTGAGAGGATGTACTCAGGTGCACATCTCAGTATATGTGTAGATAAAGCATGTGATCCAATCACATTGGCAATTTGAGATTGTTTAAAATGGGTTTACTTTATTTTTGGCATATGTAACTTTTCTTTTAAATTTCGTTCGAAAGCTGTTAAAAGGAAACACTGTGACAGACCACACTTCATATTAGCTAACCCAACCACCTTGGGATGAAGCCCCTTTTCTGCTTCCCCTTTGGGTGTGTTCCTAGTCAAGTCTGCTGGTGAACCGTAGACAAAAGTGCGGACTGTTTCTGGTTTGTCCTCTCCTTCCTCCTAAGGAATGGGGAAACATAGATGCTCATGAAGCCAGGAAAGATTAAGGTGTTTCTAAAATATTGTATGTAATTGTGTATACATTAAATTATACTTAATTGTAAGCACAAAAGTCAAAATGTATTTTAAATACATATTACCCTCAGTGTTCAAATAGTATCAGAATTATTTTATTATCAATCCCTGGGACAAGGAAAAAGTCTGATAGAGAAGACAGCCACACGTGGGAATCTAGAGATACATGTTTTTGTTTTTTAACTTACTAAAGGCTTCAGCAAAAATTTTGCACAAAGACCAGGAATTCAGGGCTGATTGATGATGCAAAGATAAGAGTGAGGG